AGTTTTTACATCCCCAATTAATGAAAGTATTATCGAAACATTAGCTGAAGCAGATGTTCACGAAATTGTTCAAAGTGTTCAAGAGCTTTATATGGATTGTTGTTCAATAACTTCAAATATTTTTTCATTATGTTTTAAAGGGAATGAGTCTGATGAAATTACAGTAGAACGATCTGTTGAAGCATTAATGTCAATTCTTATTTCTCAAAAAGAAAATCCAGTGATGTTTGTTTTTTTTCTCAAAAAAACATAAAAGAATAAATATTCATTTGTTTAGTCGATACCAAACCAATGGATCTACATTACCTCAGAATATTGCCTATAAAATTAGTCAACGTATTCAGTCTTCTTTGGCTGTTCAAGATGGGTTAATTCCAATACAACCAACATCAACAACATTATTAATTCTTCATCGGTCATTTGATTGTGCAACTCCATTATTGATACAATGGACATACCAAGCAATGATTCATGAATTTTTAGGAATAAATAGTAATTTAGTAGAACTTCCAACAGGAAAAGTTGAGTTTGCTTTTCCAAATGATCCTTTCTATAGACAAATGCATCAAAGAATGTTTGTTGAAGTGACAGATGAAATTCAAACTCGATTAAATCAGTTCAATTCAAATAAAGAAGAAAAATTAAAACTTGATACTATGGATGAAATGCAAAAAGCAATTGATGCTATTCCTGAGTTAGCTAAAGAAAAAGAAAGTCTTACAAAACATACATCAATTCTTAGTGCGGCATTAGCTGTTAATAGACAAAAAAAAGGTTTACAGTTGAGTGAATTTGAACAAGCATTAGTAGTTAATAATGCATTAAGTTCTTCATTAGCAGAATTAAGTAATATCATTAATGATAACACAATTCCATATAACGATAGACTAAAAGAGGCTGTTTTATTTGCTTATCGATTCCCTCAAAAAGCTGAAGATGTTAGGTCAATGTTACAATTACAAAAATTTAAATTAGAAGATTCACAATTGATTAAATCAATTATAACTTATGGGCAGAATCCACCTTTAAAAGTATTTCCTGATGAAACTGGATTAAAAAAATTTGTTAAAAAAATAGCCAAAGGAAGTGGAGGAGTAGAAAATGTATATACTCAACATAAACCATTATTAGAAAGTATTGCTAGAAATATTTTATATAATAAAGAAGATCTTAAAAAATGTTTTCCTGGATTTGGAGATATTCATAAAATTAATCAAAATTTGATTATCTTTATTGTTGGTGGTGTTACATTTGAAGAAAACGTTGCAATTCAAGAAATCAAAAAAAATTATTCAGATCAAGGATTAATTCCACCAAAGATATTAATTGGAGGTACTGATGTTTTGAATAGTACTAAATTCTTAAATATGTTAAGACTTAAACAAAAATAACTTAATTTTTTTTATTTATCTTTATCTGCTTCAACTTTTTCTTCTTCTAATAATTTGTTTTTATATTTAGTTGTTTCTATTAAAAATAAATCAATATCTCCTTGTATATCTGCTAATTTACTTATATTTTTTCTCATCTCTTTCTCAAAATGTTCTTCTTTTCTAATTTGTTCTTGTAACTCAGCAGCGTTCATTGAAATTATTGAGATTAAAAATTATTTTAATGATGTTTATATTTTATTTGGTTTATATAACATAAAATAATTAAAGAAGAATAATGTTTTAATATGAATTATTGAAACAGTTCAATTGGGAATTAGTTTTTTTAACAACTCAAAGTATGGTTGATCTTCAAAATTAACTAATGTAACAGAACGCGATCCATTTTTTAATTGTGTTTTTTCATTTATATTTATTTTTAATCCAATTAACGGTAATTGGATAAGTGATTCAAAATCTTCCATATTCTTCTTGAATATTAATTCTGTTTTACAAATGACCAACCATCTTTTTATATTCTTTTTATTTTCATACAGCTCAACTTCACTTTGCATTAAAACATCTTTAAGAGTAATTCCTTTTGTTGAAATTCCTTTTTTACCTTTTAAATATGAACTTGATAATTCTTCATTATATTTTGTCATATTCATTTGGTTTTCTATGGCTTCTATTTGTTTGGATAACTCATTTCCTTTATGGATATGTTCTATCATTTCGTTTCTAATGTTTTTAAATATTTCTTCATAATTTTCAATCATAAACCTTACAGTTCTTGTTAATTTTTCAATGTCAAATACAATTCCTTCATCAATATATATGTTTGGTGAAATGACTTTAGCTAAGTTATCTGATCCCATTAAATTTATTTCTTTTTTCATTTCAATAAGATGAAGTAATCTAAATAATCGTTCTATTAATGCCAAATATCCATCATTATTCATCTCTCTTAATTTTTTTTCAATTTTTTCACAAGCATTTTCATCAAGTACCATTGTTTGTAGTTCACTTGGTAATTTATTAGGAATTGAATTACAATATCTTTTGAGTATATTAATCATCTCATGAACATTTAATTTAGATACATCAATTTCTTCTTTTCGATTAATTTTTTTCATATCTTTTTCCATTTGAGCAACATTTGCTGAAAGTCTTAGTACTCCTTCTTGTTCTGGGGCAACTTTTTCACATTGGCCAAATATTTTATGTAAAATTTTAGGAAATAGCCATTGTTGTTCATTTCTAGCAATTGTAGCAATTGTAATTTCTTTACCAAATATGTCATATGAAGTTAATTTATCTTGGACTTTATTTAAACAATCCATAAAATCTTTTACTGTTTCTTCTTTCATAATAAATTGTATATTTTTACTATTTTCTGTTGTACTTTCTACTTTACTTCCAATTTCTATTGTTTTTCTATCAACAACTCTTAGACTTTCTAAATTAGATGTCTCAAACATTTCAATGACATTATATCCATCTTTCTCTGACTTAGCAAAGATAAGATAATCACTAAAGAAAAACATTGTTCCATTTTGTTTACCAGAAGAAACAACTACTTTACCAAAATACTCTCTTTCTTGGTTAATATCTCCTTTAAAATTGTTCAATTTAATAAGATGACTCGTTGCAATAATTTGTTTTTTTACTATTTCTTTTTCTTTAACTAACTTTTCAAAGACATATTTTAAAGTATTAATAACTTCTTTATCATCGGGTGTTACTCTATCTAAATTCTCTAAGAAGTCTGTGATATAATTAAATGGTGCTGTGATTAATTCTTTCATTTCAAATCCTTCAATCAAATCAATGTTGTCAACACATTCTTTAAATCGTTTAGTAGACATAAACTTATTTAATACAATAAAACTATTCTGATAATGTTTGAGATAGTTATGATATTGTTGATATAATTGACCAAAATAAGCAGAGTAACAATACAAAAATTCTTTTGGATTAGATTCTTTTAATTTCATTAATATATTTTTATGGCAATGAATTAATGGAACAATATCTGTGAAAATAATATCCATGTCTTGTAATGATATACCACATTGTAGTATTATTGGACTATTACATATGTCAATATAATATCTATCAATAAGTAAGGTGAGAGTATTAACATACATAAATTCATTTGTTATTATTCTTTTAATTTCAGGTGATTTCATCCATGGTTTAATTTCACCTTCTTCAAATTCTTCATTATGAAAATCAAGTGCTTTCCATGAATCTATTTTGTCTTCATAATTCTCCATTTTTGAATGAACTTCATCCATTCCATTTTGCATAGTTTCATAAATATGTCTTCCACTATTTTGTAATATTTCATAATACTTCTGTAAATTTTTGTCAAATACTTCTAAAGCTTTTCTTCCTTCTCCAATGCCTTTTGAGATAATATCATCTCTTGTTTGTTGAATGATTTTTTGTTTTTTATCATCTTTTTCATCTTTTAATTTTCCATTAATTTTTTGATATTCTTTATGAACTTTATCAAATTCATTTTTTGATTTTATACATGTTTTACTATCATCAAGAAATTTTTTTCCCTCTTTCATCATACGATTTAATTGTTGGGTTTGATTTTTAAATTGTTGAAACCCAACAAGATATAATTCAGACATATAACCTGTGAATTCTTTTAATGACTCTAAATCTCCTGTTTCATTAGTTAACATATGACTAGTACTTTCTTGAATTGAAGTTAAAACCTCAGAATAATTCTTAATAAAATCATTACATTTTATTGTTTGTTGTTGATATTTAACAATTTCAAATATCCTGTCTCTTGCTTTACTTATTTTTTGGTATGTATTTTCCACTTCAATAACCATATCATCAAACATCTTTACATTTGATCTCATAGCCTCTAATGTATTACTTGTGATTTGAGTAGTACATAAACTCATTGATTTTCTTAGTTGATTTCTATTTGTATTACTCCATGCCGTTGTTGTACTTTTAATTCTAGAATCTCTTAATTCATGTGGAGTAATAGTTAATGTGGTGGGTTTAGGAGTTGCTTGTTCGTCTGAATTTATACTTTCTAAAACGTCTTTTGGAGTTATTGAATTAAGGCTTTTATCTTCTTTTAATCTTACAGAAGAGAATGTAGCTCTTTTAATTTGATGAATGGGTTGATCAACATTTTCTTCTTCATCTAAATGACTTTTAGGTTTATCTTTTAATCTCTTAGTACTAGGAATTACTTTATGAAGGTATTCCACTTTTTCATTTTCATTCAATACATTTTCCTTTTTTTTTTCTTCTGTTATTGTTTCTTTGATTAGTTCACTTTTTTGATTGTGTTGAGTTGGTTCTGAAAACGTATTATTTTCAGTATTAGTTGAAGTAATACATTTCTCTGCTATGAGAGATTGATTAATGATTTGATCATCACTTTTATTTTGTCCATTAGATTCATCAAAACTAATTTCTTTTTGAGGCGTTTTTGACATTAATGGATTGTTTGATATAATAAATTGTAAAAAGAATGTAAAAAACATTTTTTGTTATTATAATTTTTCGATAAAAAAAGAAAAAAAACGAAGTTAGCAATAATTTTAATTTATTCGTTTAAAAAAAAATAAAAACTTTAAAAAAAAATTATTGTATTTCAATTTTGATTTTTTCTCCATCATTCCCTTCAACCTTTCCATCATTAAATTTTAATTCAAGTTGTTTAGACAAACCTTTTAATAAATCAACCACATTCTATGAAATAAATTAAAATTTTTTTTAAATGAAATAATGTTAAATATAAAACAAACAGAAATTCTATTGGGTTTTACAGGTAAATCAAAGTCTTTACCTTCATTCATAAGAATAATCTTTGTGTCATCAATTTCTTTAATTTCAAAAGGGATTGAAAAAATCATATTCAAGTCAATTTTTCTTTTTGCTTGGAATAAGTCATCAAATGTTTTCATTCTTTTAATAGAAATCTCTTTCTTCTCATTTAGTCGTTGTGTAAATTCATTGTTTTTAATTTGAAGATCTTTTGTAGTTAATTTATATGAGTCAAGACTTTTATTTACAAAAGTACTTGTAACAATTGGGATTTTATCATCAAGAACTTGTTGTATCAATTTTTTAACATCATTATTCCATTTTGTTTCATCACAAACAACAAGAGTTGAATTATTTATTTTATTTGTTATTTTTCCTTTTCTTAATTTTATAATATCAATTAATCCATCATAATCAACACCATCTTCTAATGACTCTTTTATAATATATACAATATATCCATCATATGTTGCTGGCATTAATCTTTGAACCAATCTTCTTCTATTTGGATTATCTTTCCTTCTTTGAATACCAACAAGTGATTTGTAGTCTTTTGGTAATGAAGAAAAATTATCATGGATAGTGTGGATATCACAAAACTCAACAAATCGTTCTTTATCACAACTTTCAGATTTTTTTCCTTCAAGATATGACTTTTCTAATAATGAACTTGTTTTTTTATCATAGTCAACCCATTGATAATCATCAAGCCATTGCCATTTAACGGACATAAAGAAATAAGAGGCACAATATTAAGTTTTAGTTCTTTTTCTCATTAATAAGACTTTTGTTTAGTCAAAAAAAAATTATGATTAATAAAATTAAGTTATTTATACCAAAAAATTTTTAAGAATAATCACAATTAATCAATGCAGAAAGAATTATTTTTTAAGTAAAAGAAAGTAATAGTTGGAAGAAAAGATTTTTATTATAATAATACAAAATGAATTAATCTTATTATAACGTATTTATTAATTAAAGTATTTGATTGATAAAACTTAATTTCTTTAAATACAGACATAGACTTTTTATTCAAAAAGATTTATATAGTGATTAGAAACAAGATAATTTGTTTCATAACAAAACACTCAAATAAAGTATTTTTTATAGTCAAATATTTTTTCCATAAAAAACATAAAGAAAAAAAAAAGAAAAATAAAAAACTTATATAGAAAATAGTTAAATCAATTTAGAGATGTTAAGATCAAAATATAAGAAGAATTTATATGCTTTACTTGAGGAAAAAGAGTTTAATGTTGCTGCTTTCAATAAACTTCATCATAGTGTTGAACTTACTCCTGTTAAATTACCTAAAGTTTTTAGAATTCTTGAAGACTATATCACTAAAAATTTTACAAATGAAGTGTTTGTGTTATTATGTCATATAATGTTTATGTTTTAACTCATCACTTTTAGTAACGTTGTTAAAGCAACAAGAACAATGGGAGAATTATCAAATAATTGTCGTGAACATTTAGCATTAATGGATGAAAGAATTGTTCGAGTTATTAGACAATGTCTTGGATCAGCTAATCCAAAAATTAAACAAGCAGGGATGCAGTTATTAGGGTATTATGTTAAGGCTTGTAATGAAACATCGATTCGTGCAAATTTTGATGAAATTAAAAACCTTCCATTAGATTTAACAAAAAGTGCAGTTAATGATACAAAAGATTCTGAACAAGCATTAGGGGCATTAAAAGATTGTGTATTAATATTCCAAATGGTATCAGAAATTGATCAAATTTTAGGGTCAAAAACAGTGTTACGAGTAATTTTTGATTGTTTAAATAAGAATGAAACGAACGAAGCAGCAAAAGACATTGTACTTGATATTGTTAGTTCAATTACAGATAAGATAACAATGACTAAATTTATGGATGGGATTAAAGACTATTTAGACTCATCTCAAAAATGGGAGAATAAATTATCACAAGAATTAATTGTTGAAATCTCTGGACTAATTAAAGTAACAATGAAAGATGTAATGATTCAATCTATATTAGATCATATTCCAAAGACAGAATCTATCTCTGTTAAATTATCACAACTAAAATTAGTACAAAAATTAGTTGATGGAAGAAATGATATTTCAGCTGATTTATTAAGGAAAATTCATTCATTATTTACTTTCTCTATTACTTCATATGATGATTTAGAAAATTCAGAAGCAAAAGAATTTATTAATGAAGTGTTTGATTTAATTCAAAAAACATTAGAATTAGTTAATGATGATTTAATAAAAAGTGATTTTTGTTCATTTGTATTTAGTGAAAGTGACAATTCATCAGAGTCTAAACGATTTTTAAATACTGTATTACTGATTAAAATTGTTCCATTAATTAAAAGAGATGTTATTCAACGCATTGATAGAATACCTTTTATTAAGTTTTTAAGTAATTTGGTTTTTTCAAATCATGAAATTCGTTCAAACTCAGTTAAAGTTATTCGTGAATTTTTATTTGGAAGTGATGAAGTAATTACGCAACAAACTAATGACATTGTATTCTCTACTCAAATTAAATATGACTTAGCTGAAAGTTTATTACAATCATCTACTAAAACAGATGAATTGGTTCAAATTTATGATTTGTGGAGAGATATTATTCTTGGAGGTGAATTAAATGAATTGGTTGAAACTATTCCATTAATTGGATATATGTCAAAAAGAATACAAAAACTAGATGCTAAACATCGTAATTATGTTCACTATATCATTCTTATGTTACTTAAAACAATTTCAATCAAATATAATATTGAAGAACTTGCAACGTATTTAGATGAAAGAATGAAAGGTATAGAACGTTATTATGATGTTACTGAACTCAACCTAAAGATTAATAAAGCAACAAAAGAGTATGAAGAAATTAGTCAATTTATTGTTAAACAAAGTGAAATTGTTGATATATTAAAGGCTTCTGACATTTCTAACAAAATACCAAATATTAATAAATTAAGTGATGAAATTACATCAAAAGATAAAAACAAACATAAGGCAACATCATCGAAGTTAGTAAGTAATAATAAGTCTATTGGTAATAACGATCATCATAATGAAAAAGTTATAACAACTAATGTTGACTTTAATACTCTAAAGAAAGCTTGTTTGCAAGATAGAAATGAGAGTAAAAATGAAACAAAAACAGAACAATCATTCGAAGGTTTGATGAAGGAATATCAAGAAATAGTTTGTTTCATATATTTTTTTTAGAAAAATTATTAATTATTTTAATAGAAAAAACAAGAAGATGATTTGATCAAAGAAATTGAAGAGATGGTCAAAGGAGTTGATGATGTAAATACTGTCCTTGATGCAAAAGAATTATATGGAGAAGTTAATTGGGTTTTTGAGTTGTGAAGAATATAAACAACAAGAATTAATAAAAAGTTTTAAAAGATTTTCAGTAATTTTTTTTCTTTTAATCTTCTTTAATTCCTTTAATACAGTTTATTTAATGAATATATCGAATCTAAAGCTTTAGAATTAAGACAAAAACATTAACCACCATTTCAATTTCTTTAAAATAAAGATTAAAAGATATGATTATTTGTGAAATATATTCCTTTGAAGTCAGAAAAAATATTAATAAGTTGTGATAATTCTTAATTCATGTACAAGCATATTCTCATTGGTAATTTTAAACTTAAAAATCTCTTTTGAGAGTTTTTATAAAAGTAAAGAATTGTCTATTCTCTGAAGAAGTAAAAACAAGGAAATAAATGTTTAAAATATTTGATTAGACTATTTTTTCTTATTAAGTAAATTCCATATGACTATAGAAGTATTAAAACAAACTTATTATTTCTATTATTAATAAATGATTTATTTTTATAATTCGTTGATTTAAATTCATAACAATACTACAATTTTATTATATTTATATATCACTATTTCTTTCATTCTATTATTTTGTCAATTTTAAGTATTGTTAAAGACAAAATATTAATTATTATATATGTTAATCCAGTTAATTGGTATTTATATTAATTTGAACTGAATATATTCTTTTATGAATATAAAGAAAACCAAAAAAGAAAATAAGAAGTTTTCAATTTATTTACCAACGTTAATACTTTTTAAGAGTTTTAGAATTTCATCAAAAGATGGTCTTTCATCTGGATTTGATTTCCAACACATTTCAATTAATCTGTTGAAATATATTTCTTTTTTATCTAATGGTGGTCTATATCCACTGATTACTTTGTCTTCAATTTCAGTAAAGAACCTAAACTCTTCAAATGGAATTTTTTTAGTAGACATTTCCCACAAAACCATTCCAAAAGAATACACATCACTTTTTAGACATGCTTTTTTGTTTATAATACATTCTGGAGCAAGCCAATAAGGACATTCTACCTTATTAGTATTATTTAATGAATAAGGAATTGAACAACCAAAGTCAGTGATTGCACATGTTCCTAATTCATCATTATTTAGTCGAATAACAACATTTGGAGACTTAACGTCTCTATGTAAAATTGGGTCAGAAGCGTGATGTAATGTATTTAGACCTTCAGCAATCTGAGTCGCAAATTGAATAAGTATTTTTGGAGTTAAGGAATATTTTGATTCTATGTTTTCATCATGAAGAAGATTAAATAAATTTCCACCATTAAAATATTCCATTATAATTGACAATGGCTGAATACTAAATCCATAAATTTTAGCTATATAATTATTTGAACTAAATCCAATAAATGACATTTCTCTAAGATATTCTTGAACATAACTACCAAATATTTCAGCTGCACTTTTATCCTTATGTAAATTTATATTTGTTAAATCAAAGTTTGACTGTTTTATTATAACTAAAGTCCCTTTTTTAATTCCATTAATATTTTTTAATGTTTCAAATAAATTGATAATAGAATTAGATCCATTTGATATTCTTTGTTTAAATTTAAAATTATTAATATCCATTAAATATTGATTATTAAATTTCTTTATCATTAAGTCAAATGAAGATAAGACTAAATTAATCGAACATTGTTTATCGTTAATAAATGCTTGTAATTGATTTATTCCTTTCTTTAAAGACTCTTGATTAACAATATGAAAAACTCCTTTTTCTAAACAAGAAGGGCAATAAATATCTATACTTTTAATTTTTATAGAATGTATTGAAAGTATATTTTGAATAAATTCTGTTATTTCTTTTAATTCATTAATTGCAATGAAACAAGAATCACCAGAAGTAATAAGATAACGTTGTCTAATAATAATAGTTTTTTGATTTAAATTTCCATAAATCATTATATAATTTTGTTCATTTGATACTTCTAAATAAACAAGAATTCCACTTTTCCATTGTATTATGACATGATATTTTAATGCTACCATTGCTAATACACAACTTAAAATTTTAAAGTTTAAAGACATTAAAGTTAAGACTCTACCAACTTCAACTTCATTTTTATAATGATGACTTGGCCATTGTTTATTAATACTATTTTCTTTTAAATAATTAGTATCAACTGTTTTTACTTTCTTTTCTTTTTCACTTTTTTTTGGAGACATCTCACATGTTTTAAATGAACAAGACGGATATATTAGTACATTTTCAAGATTTAACATTTCTCCTTTAGTCTTTGGTTCTCTTCTAAATGTATATTCAGAACTAACTGAACAACTACAAGAACATGAACTTATTGTCCCTTCTATCGAAGGTGTTTCACTTTTATTATTAATTAATTCAGAGTAAAGTTCATTAAATCGTTTTTCTTCGTTTACAATTGCAGCAAACTGTTTAGTTAGAATATAACAAATACCAAATTGTTGTAAAAGAGTTAATAAAAGATATAGATTTTCTTGTTGAATGTTTAATCGTTCAAAAATCTTAACTGTGAAGAAACCATTTATTGACAGTGTTGAATCTGCAATATTCAAAAAACGTTTAAAGAATGAAAAGTCAATCAAAACCATATCTCCTTTATTTAAATTAATTGACTGTTCAATAAAAGGAGATACAGATGGCATTTGAATAAAATATCCCCATTTAATTAATACATCATATATTTCTTTCTCTTTATCTGATAAATTTAGACAATGGACTATCTCTGAAAATTTTTGTTTATTAAGACAAAATTGATCAAATTCTAAAACATTTAACTCAACCATTACTTGGACATAAGGTTTTACATCTTTATTAACTTTACCATTAATTTGTTCAAAGATTTTCTTTGATAAACCACTCCATTTATTTTTATCTCCAATATTTTTATGAACTGTAATACTTAATTCTTTATACATTTCTATATACTTCTCACATCGCTCTAGTCCACTAACAAAATGTATCTTTAATGAATAAGGAAGTAACTTTAACATCTCCATAACTCTTTCACTAATACTATTCTCATTTGTTGATTTACAAACAACAAAAATACATTTTGAATATTCCCATAGAGTGTCTTCAATTTCTTCTGGAGTTTTAACTTTAAATTGAATAGTAGCTAATACTTCTGAAGATCCTTTTTTTTCTTTCTTTTTACTTGACTTTATAATAAAATCAAAACCTAACTCTTTTATTTCTCTAATACTTCCATATTTTTTCATCTTCTTGAGAAGATATTGGAAAACATCATTTCGAAGTTCATCTCCACTAATAATAACTTGTTGAATAGCTTGAATATCAATGTTATCAGTATCACAAGATAAAGAACTTTGTGTAGTTTGAGCATCAATATGGCAATCTATAAGATTATCCATATTATTAAATAAAACACTCTTTGTATATATTAAATTATCTCGAAGATTTAACTCAATAAGACTATTCCAAGAAAAGAATGAATGGTTTATTTTCATTATATAATTATGACTTACATCAAGTTTAGTTACTGATAATTTTGTAATATTTTCTGGTATTTTTCTAAGCTCACAATGTTGTAAAATTAATTCTTTTAAATGGTTTGGTGGGTTATTGAATAATGGCTCTAATTCAAATTTTGTTTGAGACAAATCTAATATGTTTAAGTTTGTTAATTCACAAATTGGTGTTGGATAATACTTTACACCTTGAGCAATAAATGTTTCAATCGTTGGACTCAATTCTAATGCCTGATGTTTATCTAAGTTGTTAAAAGAAATATCAAGTAATTTCAATGGAAGAGAAATTAATGATGGAAGTATTGTAATATTATTATGAGATAAAGAAAGTTCATTTAAATTCGTTAATTTTGATATTTCATCAGTGATATAATAAATTTCATTTCTTTGTAATGAAATTTTATTTAGTTTTGTCATTAAACACAAAGATGGTGGAAACTCACTCATCCTATTTGATGAAAGGTCAATAGATAAAACATCTTTTAATAATAGTGTTAATGACTGATAAGGTGGAAAATGAGAAATATTCCTTTTTGAAAATTGTACTACCTCTTTGTCTTTGTTAAGTTTATTAAAAAGACTAATATTATCTTTTGAATATCCTAACCATTTATCAAATGAATAATAACATTTATATGGTTTAAATATTAATTCAGTTTGTATTGGTTTATAAAAAGGATTAATAAATCCAGAAGAATCAGAATATATATAATTAATAATAGCACTTAATTGGTCACATTTTCCATTTTCATTATTATTATTAAATCGTCTACTCCCAATATGAGTTATCCAGAAGTAAGTTAGTCTAGAATCAAATTGGAATTGAGATAAGTTTTGATTAATTAATTCTTCTATTGCTAAAAAAAATAATACTAAAAGTAATAATGTTTGACTAGAAATGAAAGCATCAAATCCAATAAATTCTTTTTGAAATAAAATAAGAAATCCTTTCAAAGTTCTGTAATAAGGATCTGCAATTATTTGAGTTAAGAATGAGAATATAGAAACATCTTCTTCACCAGTTTTATCATTAATTAATAAAATATCTTCACAGGAATTATGAAGATTATCAAAAATCATTATAACTTTAAATAAAAGATTATTAACTATTTCGTTAATAGACTTCAATAAAGAATTATAACTCTTTATGTTTTCTGAATTTATTGATTCTTCACAAACAAAATTTTTTAAGTCTTGAAATATATTATCTATATTATCTGTATTATCTATACTTTTACAATATATTTTTAATGCTTTTTCTGCTTTACTTCCTATTTCATAAACTTCTTCATATAAATCTTCATTAATAATTTTAGCTAATCGTAACAATTTACTTTTATTTAAATGTTGATAAACAATAACAACAGGTTTATTAATTTCAATAGTATCAATAACACAATGAGAGTATAATGGTAAATTCGGAGAATAATATTTTCCTTTTTCATTTGAAATAATTTTCATTCTTGTTGCCTCTTGTGAACATATTATATCAATATTTTTATTTATCATAACGTTATGAGGTAATGAAATAATTTCATTTGGATAATTTTGTAAACTTTGAAGATGACCAATAATTTCATTAAAATTAAATTTAGTACTAATACAATAATATGATAATACTCTTATATTTTTACATTGAAATTTAACATAAAATCCTTCATCTTTATCAAAAGTAGCAATAGAATCTATTTCTCCAATCCAACATTCTCCAAGGAATCTCATAAAATCTTCTTGAATAAATTGTGATGGAATAAATAATACTCTGTAATTAGTAATAAACAATTTCCCTTTAATATATGTTGACGTATTTTTCATATCAAGAACTTCTTTTCCATTTAATATATATAAAGGACAATATGACTCATCTATTCTTAATACAACTATTTCTCCTTCAATTTGATGAATATATTCTGTTCCAATAAATTGTTCATTTTCAGTAATACCATTAAAATATTTAACAAATCGTTTTTTAAATCCACTTTGTTGTAACATTGCATTAAAATAACATTTTACAAATTCTTTATATTCATCAGAAGATAATTGTGTCATTTCACTAATTTCATTTATAAATTTGAATAACTCTTTGATAACATTGAATTCTACTTTTCCTACCAATTCTTTTAATTTGTTGATAACAATTTGATTATTTAATTTACAGTTTTCTTGTTGTTTAATAAAATCTAAAAAACAAAATGGAATAATTGGAGAAGGAAGAAATAAAAAGAATAACTTTAATAATACAAATGCATTTTGAATTGTACAAATATTATTTAATAAAGGAATTTGAGATGAATTAAATTTATTAATTAAATTGAAATATAATTTAAAGTCTTCATTCTCAAATAATGAATTTTTATTTAAATGTTCTAAATTATAATGAATTAAATAATACTACAGATTTAATATAGATATATAAAATAACAAACTAAAATAATTACTATGGTCATTCTGTTTACATAACAAAAGAATACGTTCAGCATCTTTTTGAGTAATACCTAATTGAAGTAATTTCTTTAATGAATAATTTTTTAATAATTCAAATGTAGTTAAAGATAATAAAGAATCAACTTTTTTCATTTGTCTGATTTCAGAAAACTCCATTATTTCTTTTTGTTCAAACCAATCAAGATTATTACTAAGAGAATTATAAAGATACTTCATAATATTATACATTCCAATTGGTATTCCTTTCATATTAAAATCATTAATTCTCATTTCTTTTAAACTAAAATGAAAACATCTTAGTCTTTTCCAATCATAATTAGTACTATTCATACTACTAACTCTTTTAAATAATTTTAAATTACTTTCTTCTTTTGGTTGAATAATAGAATTTGATTCATAAAATTTGTGCTACAAAAGTAATTTTAATAAATTATGAATTTAACTTCTTTATAAACAAACTTTAATATCTAATAAACTTTTTTCAGCTAATTGTTTAAATGAAATTTGATTTGGTTTCTTTGAATATGAAGAAATCTTTGATTTATAAGAATTCTGTGAAAATGAATCAAGGTCACTCATAACAGTTGATTACAAAGAAGAAAAGTGATAGATGTTTTTCTATTTTTTTCGTTTTTTGTGAACTAAAAAACTTCTTCATAAAAAAGATAAAAAAAGCAAAACTAAGAGGATATTAAGTTCTTTTTTTTTATTTATTATGTCCCTCATTGAGTCATGTATAAAAAATGATTTTCATGAAATTATTAATATAATTGAAAATGGTGCTAACTATTTAGATATTGATGAAAATGGAAATACCCCTTTTCATTATCTTAAAGTTATACCACCAACTACTCCTAAATTAACTGCTTGTGACCCTACATTATTTAAAATATTTAAAACAAGAAGAGATATTGAAACTGATGCAATTTTTAATTACCAAAATGGATTTACTCATATTCATTCATCAATTATTATACCTCATTGTCCTTCATTAAAACTTGACGTATCAGAAACTTCAGCACAAATATTTATTGAATGGTGTTATTGTAAATCATCTCCTACTTTAGAAAAAATGGCTCCTTTTTGTTCAGTAAAAAAATCAATGGAGTTACTTTGTTGTTATGAAGCAAATTCATGTTGGAAATATTTAGAAGATTTTTCAATTTCACTTTCACATTTACTTCCTGATGTTTCTATTGAGTATCTTCGTTATTTTGAAAATAATGACTTAATTGATAACCATCCAATTCTGTTTGAAAAAATAACTCAAATCTTTTTTGCAACATTTAATTCTCAAGGAGGAGATGATTTTATTAATGATCTTTCTCAACCTTTATTATTACGTTGTTTGCATTCTTTATCACAACTACACCAATAATAAAAATAATAATTTATTTATTATTACTATCTAATTTCTTTGGTTTTAGTTCGATTTTCTTCTTTTCTACTAATTTCATCTTCTCTCCTACTGTTAGTTTTCCATCACTCATCTTTTGTTCCATGGCTAATTTCATTAAACTCTTTCTCATCATTCCTTTAATCTCAATTTCTTTCCATGCCTCTACAATATCCCCAAGCAATTTAACATTAGAATTATCACATAAAAATTCAACTCCATCATATTTGCATTCATACAATACTAATGGATATGCTGGTGCATATTTAAAATAATTTGGTTTAGTATAATGTTCTACATCTAATAACTGTTTAATGCTTTCTGGATTAGCACCTTGTCCTATAGCAAATAAAGCTCCTACCATATATCTAACTTGATGCCATACAAAAGCAGTCCCACATACAACAAATCTACTTAGTCCATCTGTTTCTTCAACTTCAAATGAATTAACTCTTCTTACACAATGAGAAACAGCAGGATCTTTCTTACAAAAGTTTGTAAAATCATGTTCTCCCAAAAACAACTGAGCTGCTTCTTTCATTTTAGGAACATCATAAGAGGATGGATCAAAGTAATAATGATATGTTCTTGACTGACAACTAAACCTTGAGTTAAAATCATCAGGAACTCCACACCATCCAAGACATCGAATATCAGTTGGTAATAATCCATTTAACATACGACAATAGTCCAACTCACCTTCTCTTTTAGTATATAAAATTGTTTCATCTTTTAAGTTACTTCTTACCCATAAATCAACTACTTGTCCAAATGCTGAAACACCTTTATCTGTTCTTCCACATCTGTTATATTTACAATCTTTTGTATTTTGAATAAGTCGTGTCTTAAAGAGTGCTTTAAATAATTGATATTCTATAGTTCCATCGTTAATCACTGAATCAAATGTTGCATCTGTGACATCATTTAATAATGTACATTGAATGCCATTATAGTCAATTCCAATATAAGTCAAACGAATGGCAATATGTCTTGTTTTATAATTATTAAAACTAAATTCCTTTTTCTTTTTTAATTGAATAGGTTGTGTTAGATTAGTGTCATGTTCCAAGTTTACTTGTTGATTATTGCAAGTCATTCCAATTCAATAAAAGAACTAAAATTGACTTTATAATGAACTATTAGGGTTACTATTCATTCTTTTTTAAAGATAAAAAATTAACCAAAACATTCAATAAACGTTTATTCATTTATGGAACAATGAATCTAAATCTCCTCTTTGGTCTATACTCAATTTACCCCAAATCTCAGAGATAACATTTTGTGGTACTAATGGACATAATGCTTGAATTAATTGAGCAATATATTTTTTAGTTTCATCTGATGTATTTTCATTTTCTAATGAACGAGCAAAGTATAATACTACTCTATATATATTTTCAGCTACATTACCAAGTTTCATTATTTCTAATAATAATCCTCTATTATGAAGATCAGATAATAAACTAACTATTTCATCATAACTTGATTTAGCTGGGAACAAATTGAGCCATTGTTGCATAATCATTTGCCAATTTGGAATTTGTGTATAATAATGTCCAATAATGTTTCCAACACAAATTAAAACTTGATCAGCTAATTCAACAGCAGCACGAGTTCTTTGTCTGCTTAACATAGATCCAATAGATTGAAGAACCTTTGGAATAAATGGAACAAATTGTGGAATATCAACTTTAGCAAATTGACCAAGGAAATAAATAGCGTTATTGGCAATATCAATATTCTTATGATGTGAAAATTCAATAAATTGATCAGCAATTTGTGGAACAAAATCATAAATTTTACCATCAACAATAACACATCCAATAATGGCAACTGCAAATGAAACTTTATCACTATCTTCTACTTGTTTGAAATAAATCATAACTCTTGGGAATAATTTGTATTGGAATGGAGTAAAGAATGTCTTTTGATGTGATTTACAAATATATGAAGTAATATCTAAAATTAAAGATAACCAGTCATCCTCTTCTTCAGCAGCATCTTGAATCTTTTCATATTCTTCATCATCAAGAACATCTGTATCAACATTTTGAATTTGAATTGTCTCATCATCATCTTCAATACCAACTCCATCAAGAATTTTCTTAAGAATTTCATCAAATGATTCAAATACCAATCCAATTCTATCTTCTCCAAGTGTATTATCTCCACCAAGAACAAGTACCATCTTTAAACAAGTTAAATATGATTGAATATTATCAGTGAATTTTTCTTTCTTTAATAACATACATAAATGATCAATAATACCATAATAAATTGGTGCTACTTGTTGTAAGATACTAGTGTGATCAGTAATTCCCTTGTCTTGAATCATAAATATAGCATCCTCAAAAATAGATGGAATAAGATGAGCTGTGACTTGTTTAATACTTGCATTTGGATCACTAATTAATGGCAATAAAACATTTAATGTATCTTGTACATATGGTCCATATGCTTTTTTAACAGAAGTTGTTATTCTAAACAATGTTTGAAGTAAATATACTTTTTCTTCAGTATAAGGATTTGTGACTGAAATTTCATTATCTATAATAACAGCCTCTGGATTTTCTTTTAATAACAATCTTTTTAATATTATTTGAACAATTGGACCAAGATATTGAATAAATCCAGCATCATTTGCTTCTGAAAATCTACATAATCCACTTAAAATATATGGTAACATTGGTGAACCTACATCATTAGAATTGCATAATTCTTCAAATGTTTTGAGAACAATTTGTCTTGAGTCAGGGAAGAATGATGTATTAATAATACTATAGATACACATAATTTCAATTAATTTTCCTTTATGTTCCAAAGTATCTTTAGTATTACATTTTGGTAATAATGTATCAACAACATTCTTTAATAATGGATAATAACTTTCCATTTGTTTTTGAAGTACACGAGTAATAAATACAATAATAGATAATGCAGATGATACAGCTTTTAAATTAGATGTATTTAATGTTTTGAAAATACCTTCCATTAATGGTTGTGCAAATGGTAAAAGTTTTTCTGCGGTTTGTTGATCTTCTTCAAGAAGAGAATTAACTACAAAACAAGCTTTGTCTTGAACAATGACAACTGTAGAGTTAAATGATACAATAACAACTTGCATAATCTCATTAAAATGTCTTCTTCTACACATCTTAGGGAATGCTTCAATTAATTCTTCAAGTAAATCAAGTAATGCATGCAATACTAATGGATGTGGATCATTAACAAATTTAAGTACAATTTTCATTAAATCTGACATCGTAGTTTTAAAAATATATTTTCCAGGTATTACTGATAATGAGAGAGCAACAAGAGCAGCATATCTTGCATTCCATTGATCCATATTTAAATACTCTAAAGTTGTTTTGAATAATACATCTTTAATTGGTGCTCCTCCAACTGCTTCAACTATTCTAAAGTAAGCATCTTCAGCATATGACCAATTTTCAACCTCAATTGGATCTTCATCATTGAGAAGAAGTTCAGCACCATCATTATCTATAGACTTCAACCATTCAAGAAGTTTCAATACTATATTTGAAAGTAATGGATTTTTTTTAAAGAGATGTGGCTCTTGTGAAATAAGGCAAACAGCAATTTCTAATGCACTTTGTTGAGTTTCTTTATGTTGTGCAGAACAACAAAGTTGATACATTTGAGTAGCAATATTAATTTCATTACCAACAAAAAGATATTCAGAATTTTCTATAAGCTCACAAAATGATGCTGATGCATTATCAAAATCATCAAATCTATTATTTTGAATTAACCAAATCAATGTATTTTGTAATGGAACAATAAGTTGTTTGGCATAAGCACCATGTTGTTCAGTAGTTTCTAAAAGAACTATTGCACTAGAAAGAAAATCAACGACAGTAAGTTTCATTGTTGCATCACCATTTGTTAAAGCTTGAATACAAAATTGGACAACTTGTTGCTGAAGAGCAATTAAAGTCTCTGATCCCTTAAGTGAAACAGAGGCTTGAAGTGTATCAAGTGCAATCATTTGTTGTAATGGTCTTGGGTCTCTTAAAATTTCAATAATGGTAGGAAAATATCCATTCCAATCAAGTTCTGAATCAGACATGCATTGAGCAAAATTACTGACAGCAGCAGCAACAGCACCTTTAAGATGTACTGATGTTTCATTTTTCATACAATTAATTAATGAATTGCAAATTTGAAGTAAAACATCTTGGTTTACAGACTTAAGATCGTCTATTTTATTAATTGTTCTTCCAAAACATAATAATGCTGATTTACGAATATCATCAGATTGTCCTGAGTTAGCTGTTCCAAGTTGAATGATTTGTGGTAATAATTGTGGTTGTGTAGTTAATGAATCTAAAACTTGTTCTCCTTGATTTCTAATATTTTGATCAGGACTTAAAGTTGCTTGAAATGCTTGAACAATATTAGCAGCCATCACCTAAGACTATTATGAAATAATCAATTCTAAGGGTTTTCTTGTCTCATTATCAACCCTGAGGGTTTAATCGTTTCATTAAAAAGTATTTTTTAGGTATTTTATTTGTCTCTGAGAGTATTTTTCTCTGCATTGTTTTTTCTGTACTTTAAAACACGAAGATTAAAAACACAATATAATGATGAATCTGTGATTTATTATTTTATGAGATATAAAACAAAAAAGAAAGATTAAAATTTACTTACCAATACGAGCATATTCCCATTGCTTGAGATCAAGAGGACAGACAGCACGTTGTCTTAACCATGAAGAAATACAATGAGTATGGAATGCATGATTACAAGTTCCCCATGAAACGGTACATTCTTAAAAGATGAATATCGTGAATTATTTATACACTATTTAATGAAACAAACCTTCAGTTGTTGAACCTGTATTTCCTTGACATTCTAAACATAATTCCATAAGACTATTTCTACAAATAGCACATGTGTCTACTTGAAGGTCCCACGACCACAAAGCAACAGCGTTCCATTTCTTTATTTCGAATTTAGGTGGTTGTTGTGCTGACATAATTAGTTGATGAACTAAAGATTATTTTTAATCTTTTTTATTTTCATTTTCATTTTTTTCTTTTTTTGTTCAGTCTCTATTTCATATACCTCAATCCTCATTTAAGATTTAGTTTATTTATTAGTTTTGTGAATTTCATTTTTCTGTTTAGTTTTTGTTTTTTTTCAAGAAAAAAAATCTTTTTCTATGTAAAGAATATAACAAATTTTATTATTTTTGTTATTGAAATATTTTCTTGAGTCTTGACACTTGCAAAGAAAAGCAAACAAAGTATAAGAATTTAAGTGGATACAGGAGAATGGGAGAATGTGTAATACAACATATAATAAGAATTGAAAAAAAGAACTGTGAATAAAAAAGGACAAAGAAGATAAATAAAAAATGAATAAGAAAAAGATGGGTAAATGTTATTATAATAAATATAACACCAGTATTAAATATAGAGTATTATGAGAGTGAATTTAAAATAACATAAGTACAAACACTTAAATTGAAAAAAAAGAAGATTATAAAAAATTAAATTATGTTTCAAACAACATATTTTCTATTTGATATTCAACTGATAATACATACATTCTTTCAATATTAAATAGACTATTTCTTCTATTCGATATTGTTTCTTATATTTATTAAAATGATTACAACATTATTTCATTAATTCTTTCATATTTTTTGTTATTAATATCTTTTCAATTATTTCATATGGTATTGTGATTCAAAACACTTCCATTAATCTTCTTATTCTAATTATAAATACTAATATAATTATATTTTCTTGATTATTCATCAGTTATATCTTACATATTCATCATATTCATAAATATTATATTTATATTACAATTTTTTACATTTGTCATTATATGTTAAGTGAGATTTGTTCATTGAACCTATCATATAAATATCTAGTTTTTTGTTGAACTTTATTTATTCTTTATTCATATTTTCACTATTCTTAATTTTCATCATCTCTTCTTTTCTTTTTATTTACTCTCTTTCTTCAAACATTATAAATATATTCATTAATAATTTTTCTTTCTTTTGATTTGTTTCATCTCAATATTTAAATGTGAATTACATTATTCTTCTAGTATATT